AGCATAAATGTTGTTAAATTAGTTTTTCATATTATAGAAACCCCTTTATATCACATTTTTAATCTTTCTCTTCAATCTGGAACAGTTCCAGAAAAATTAAAAATTGCACGGGTCTTGCCTATTTGTAAGTCTGACGATGACACAGATTCTTCAAATTATAGACCAATATCAGTTTTACCATGCTTTTCTAAGTTACTCGAGCTTTTAATGTATAATAGGCCAAACAGCTACTTAACAGTAAATAACATGTTGTACAACAAGCTATTTGGCTTTAAAAAAAATCATTCAACTGATCACGCTTTGACCGAGTTAGTAACTCATGTAACCAATGCCTTTAATGAAGACCGTTTTACATTAGGAGTATTTATTGATCTGTCTAAAACTTTTGACACAGTCGACAGTGTCATTCTTTTAAAAAAACTTGAACATTATGGAATAAAACAAGGGTTGAATTAACGCATCGCGATTTGCGATATATGTTAAATTATCTGGTCTTCAAAGTTTAAGTTTATGGAAAACCACGAAATTTACGGAATAGGCGAATAAACTTTAATTTGTTAGTGAAAATGTTATGAAAAACAAAACAATAAATTTATGACTACAAAAGTAATAATACTACAGTGTTGTTACTTTTATAACACTCTTTTATGTTACATTTATAGCTTATTATTTGATCAAACAACACATAATCAAGATATTATAAATAAAAATGATTTAGTTAAGTAATTCCTAACTTTAATTAAAGTAGTAATGCATCTAGAAAAAATACAATGGATATTTAAACAATGTTAAAAACCTCAGCAACTTTTACGAATACATATTTTTATAAACAGTTTAGCATTTCTAAACATCTTACAAACGGTCCAGAAAAAACGTGCGTTCACTTTAAAATCAACCAATGAAAACACTGGTAATTTACTTCTTAGGAGAAATCTATATTAAAAGGGGAGGGAGGGGGAGGCTAAAAACTTAAATTTTGTTTTATTATTTAATCAATTAAATCATAATAAAAGTAAAGACAAAAAAATATATTTCTAAATATACTTCTTTATAAGTAAAATTTATTAAATTGAACACCTCTGTTTTTAGTTTTAAGTAAATGTCAGTACTACTCTCAGTGGCGAAACTGCGGGGGAGGGGGGGGTGTGAGCTAATTTTAGGTTGCATGGGAGATAAGGGGCTCAATTTAAAAATCGTGCGGAGGGGGGGGGATTTTGTTACTGACTACTCTAATGTGCTTAATACAAAGGTAGGTGGGGGTGAGAATTTTAGTCAGGATGTATAAAATGGGAGGAGGAAATAATAAAAAAAAGCGGGAGGATTTACAATGAAAGTTTTATTATTTATCAGTTACCAATGTATATTTTTTTTAATTTTAAGGCCAATTTTCAATGAATTTTTGTTTTAAGATATAGTTTTTTCTTTATAACAAGTGACTTGTTATAAACAAATAACACGATTTTCAAAATCAGCCCCATATCGCCCATGCAATCTAAAATTAGTTTAAAATCAGGACACTTTTTGTCTGTTAACCAAAGCCCCCCCCCCCCCCCCCCCCCGCAGTTTTGCCACTGAGAGAAGTACTGACATTTACTTAAAACTTAAAACAGAGATGTTCAATTTAATAAATTTTACTTATAAAGAAGTATATTTAGAAATATATTTTTTTGTCTTTACTTTTATTATGATTTAATTGATTAAATAATAAAACAAAATTTAAGTTTTTAGCCTTCCCCTCCCTCCCCTTTTAATATAGATTTCTCCTAAGAAGTAAATTACCAGTGTTTTCATTGGTTGATTTTAAAGTGAACGCGCGTTTTTTCCGGACCGTTTGTAAGATGTTTAGAAATGCTAAACTGTTTATAAAAATATGTATTCGTAAAAGTTGCTGAGGTTTTTAACATTGTTTAAATATCCATTGTATTTTTTCTAGATGCATTACTACTTTAATTAAAGTTAGGAATTACTTAACTAAATCATTTTTATTTATAATATCTTGATTATGTGTTGTTTGATCAAATAATAAGCTATAAATGTAACATAAAAGAGTGTTATAAAAGTAACAACACTGTAGTATTATTACTTTTGTAGTCATAAATTTATTGTTTTGTTTTTCATAACATTTTCACTAACAAATTAAAGTTTATTCGCCTATTCCGTAAATTTCGTGGTTTTCCATAAACTTAAACTTTGAAGACCAGATAATTTAACAGATAACGCAAATCGCGATGCGTTAATTCAACCCTTGTAAAAAACAATAATTTACTATGGTTTAAAGATTACTTATCAAACAGACAGCAATACATTCAAAATTAAAATGTTAAAACGACAAAAAGTATAATAAAATATGGAGTTCCTCAAGGCTCAATCTTAGGACCGTTACTGTTTTCTCTTTATATAAATAATCTACCTCTTACCTCGAACATACTAAACTTTATTTTGTTTGCGGATGACTCCAATCTGTTTTATTCTCATAGGGATATTAAAACCCTCTTTAAAGTAGTTAATGAAGAAGTAAACAAAGTAAATGAATGGTTTATTTGTAATAAACTTTCACTTATCGTTAACAAAACTAAATTTATTCTATTTCACAAACCAACCAAAACAGGAAACCTTCCTTTAAAATTACCCAATCTTAAAATCAATAATATAAATATTACTAGGCAAACAACTGTAAACTTTTTAGGTATTATTTTAGACGAAAATTTAACATGGAGGAAACATATAAACACTCTTGAAAGAAAACTTTCAATAAACATTGCAATGATGTATAAAGCAAAACCATTTTTAGATATAAGATCTCTAAAAAGTTTATATTTTTCCTTCATACATAGCTATCTAACTTACGGCAATATCGTATGGGCAAGCAACAGCTACGCTTAGTTAAAAAAAATTTATACTGAACAAAAACATGCATGTAGAATTGTATTTGGAGTAAAAAGAACTGTGCCTTGTGAGCCACTTCTACGTAAACTCAATGCATTAAATGTGTTTAAAATTAACATATTCCTCGTCATACAGTTTATGTATCAAATAAAACATGGACTGTCTCCAGTGATATTCTATCCTTATTAGTAAGCCATAAATACCCCACCGAGTTCTCAGAAAATAACTTTGTAACTCAAAAGTATAATCTAAAGTTATGTTTTTATTCTTTTCAGTACCGGGGTCCAATTTTGTGGAAAAACTTTCAGCATATTGTTAATATTAAAGAAAAAACATTTCCGCAATTCAAATCTAAATTAAGACGTTATTTAGTACTTACGGATTTTAATATAGCAGATCTTCTATGTCACTTTTAAAGTTTTAAAATTTATTAAACTAAATTAGCACCATAAATTTAAAAATCTAGACCATTTAAAAATACTAAGAATTTCAATGTCTTTATCATACTTTCATTGAAAATATATATTCTCTTAAAGTTACCTACAATTTTCTTAACATATTTTATAATATTGGAACAGAATTTTTATTTGAATTTTGAATTATTTTGAAAGAAAATAATATATACAAATATATATATATATATATATATATATATATATATATATATATATATATATATATATATATATATATATATATATATATATATATATATATATATATATATATATATATATCGAATCACATCCAATTTATAACCAAAAACAGAAAATTTTTGTCATTTTTATTACTATATTTTAATCATTTCTTTTTCTTTTTTTTTTTTTTTTTTCAATTATTTTTTTTTTTTATTTTACTTTTTAATTTTGTTTCTTAACATTTTAAAATTGTCTTTTTTTAAATGCTTTTGCTTATATATTACGGATATTATATATTACTAAGGGTCTGCGTCTGCTCGTATTCTCTCGGAAGTTCGGTATGAAACGGTAAAAAATGTGAGTATTCGTTTCGTTCCGTTTTTACGAAACAAAAAATATCATTTTGTTTTGTATCGCATTTATACGAAACACGTAAATCTTGTTTCGTTTCGTATCATGTTGTTACGAAACGTGAAATTATTTTTTCGATTTGTACCGTTATTTACGAAACACAATAAAATTGTTTCGTTTCTTATCGGTTTTTACGGAATATTTCATAACTCCCCGCCCAAACAGATATTTCACGATTCCCATGCCCTCGAGCAATACATAAACTTTTAAGTTTAATACTTACTAACTCAATGTTTCGTAAATCAAAGTTTAACTAAAAAAATGTATTAACAAAGCAATGCAATAGCATCATTTTCATAAGGCTTAGCGCATCTAACGAAGTTAAAAAAAGATATTGTCTTCTGTAGGTAGGTTTTAGTAAAACTGATGAGCTTAAAGTTAAAATTCTATTACAGTAAAACCGTTTTACTGTAATAAAATTTTAACTTTAAGTTCATCAGACATAAATTATGTATTTGTTTATGAACTCGCATTAAGAGTTTGAAATCATTGTTTGAATTAAATACTTCAAATTATATTATATAACATTTTAAATGCGATATTGTTGTGTTAACTTGAAATATTTTGCAAAACTAATTAATTTATTGTTTAAAAACCATAGTAATTCTCAATCATATAATCATGCCTATAAAAGCTACAATTTTATGGAGTTATTTCAATAAAGTTACTGTGTCAGGTGTTAAGTGTGGGGAATGTAAAAAGTGTCAAATCCAAATCAAGTTAACTGATGGATCCACTAGTGGTATCAGGTACCATCTGAAAACAAAGCATTCCACCACTACGCTACGATGTTAAGAGCCCAAATTGAACTTGAGCGCCAAAGAGAAGAAGATATTAAAGAAATTACAGAAGCTGCCTTCGAACTGAATGACACATTCAGTTCGAAGGCAGGGGGGAACTATTGGGAAATATTCTTCCCAAATCAGGCAGGCAATTAGAGACAGACATGGTAATCATGTCATACATTGCCAGTTCAAGTAGTCCATACACTCTAGTAGATGAACCATGCTTCAAAGAAATGGTGGAACATTTAAATCCAAAAGTAATTGTGAAACATTGCTCGACTTTTTCAAGGTACAAGCTGCCATTGCTTTATGAAAGCGTTATGGATACTGTGCAAAACCTAATTGAAAAAGAAGTTTCCACTTGTCAACAGGTGGCTATCACCACTGATGGTTGGACCTCTAGGTCACAGGATCCATACATGACTCTTACGCTTCACTATATCAATAGTCAGTTTGAACTGAAAAAATATGTTCTCAACTTTGACAATTTCGTGGGAAGACACACTGGTTACCACATTAGCAAAGTAATTTTTCTTATGTTGATATAATTTGTTCTCGTAAATATAAATTTGTAAGTGCAAAAATAATTTAAAAAAGTAAAACTTATCCTTCCGCTAGAATAGCGTTTCTTCTAGGATTTTGTCAATTATTGAAAGAATTTATAATTTATTGTAAAACCTAAAAGCTGCATAAGTTATCTTATAAATCATTAATTTTTTTTCATTCTTGTTTAAGGCTCTGGAAGAAATGATCCAAAAATATCCGGTATTGGACGCCGTGCCCAAGAAAGTCATTGTCCACGATGCGGCGGCAAACATGAAACATGCTGTGTCAATCATGAACAAAACAAAATATGAATCACTGTTGTATGCAGACCACCTACTAAACACTAGCCTACTACATGCTACCAATGAAGTGCAAGAAGTCAAAGAATGCATAGATATTGCCACACAACTATCTAGCAAAGTCCACAGATCCACCTTAGCTTGTCAACTTATTGAAAAAGAGTGTATGTTGCTCCGTGTAAACTATGTTAAAATCATTGCTCCGGTAAAAACCAGGTGGAATTCTAACTGTTTTATGCTGGAGTCAATCCTTAAACTAAAAGATGTGTTGATTTCTCTTAGAGAAAAAGATGTACTAAATAACAACCCACTACAGAACGTTATTCCAAGTGACAACCAATTTTCACTGATGGCTTCACTGATGCCAGTCTTAAAAAAAATGAAGATTATGTCAGATTGCATGTCCAAGGACACTGAACCAGTGCTTCATCATATGCTAACTATGCTTTATAAAACTGACAATTTTCTTCATGACCACATTGATATGGAAAACAGAGAAATAGTTAATGCTTTTTGTAAAAAACTAAGTGAGCATTTACACCTAGCCACGCAATTCAATGAACATGGAAGATACAACCAACACTATGCCTTGGGAAACCTTCTTCATCCGTACTTTAGAGGTTATAAGTTTTATTTCTTGGTAAAAAAAACATTCTTTAATATTCTTTATTTGTTAAAAGACTAAATTTAACAGTTATTGTTTATGATTTCAGGATATATGCTTAGACATTACGGTATCTTCGAAGAGTTTACCAGAAAAGTCATCAACGATCATCCATCGTCGGACGCTGTTTCGATCAGTAAAAAAAATAATCATAAAGCTGCACAAGTTAAAATGCCAGTTGGTGTGGATGAGTGCGACGATTTACAAAATATAGAGATTGATCAGGGTAATAATAACCACACCATTAGTCAAAATGTACCGGAAATTGAAAGGGAGTTTGAATCTTTCCACGCTATGCCTCGTGTTGAAGAAAAGCATAAAGTTGATGTGCTGAAATGGTGGAAGAAACATGCCTCTACTTTGCCATTGTTAGCACAATTGGCAAGAAATTTGCTCTGCATTCCAGCTGCATCAAGCTGTAGTGAGAGAGTGTTCAGCGCCAGCGGTGGAATTATAAATGATAAAAGACACAGTCTTTCCATTCAGACAGCAAAGCAATTGACTTTGATTAAAGTCAATTATGATCTTGTCTGTCCTCACATGACCTTGAAAATTATAAGCGACGCTGAAGAAGCCCTGGACCCCCCAGCATCAACTCCAGTTAGAACACCTCCCAAAAATCCTATTCCTAAAGCAGTTTTTTCAAATAACCAAAAAAGGTTATTGTTCAAAACAAAAAACGTTTCAACAACGCCATTATGTTCTTCTTCTTTACCATCAACACCAACATCTTCAGGAATCAAAAGAAAAACAATGGAAATTCCAGTAGAATCCGAAACAACATCATCCGAAAAAACATCCGAAAGTGACACTCAACAAGTATTAAAATAAAAATGTTTTACTTTTTATTGTGAAATTTTAAAATCGTGAAATATAATTGTCTAAATAAAAACTGATTTTTCGTAAAAATCGCAAATGTGTGCTTAAATTGGTACAATATAAAAGTAAATTACTTTTTTATTTTATGCTAGCCCTATCTGTCGTAAAAACATTAGTATTTCTCGTAAAACTCAGAAATTTCTTGTTTGTTTGTTTCGTTTTTTACCGTTTTATTTCGGAAAAAGTTTAATCTTATTTCGTTTCGTACCGGTTTTTTCAAAACAAAAAATGTGTCCCGTATTTATCACGAAACCAGAAAATTGTATTTCTTTTCGTACCGTATTTTGCGAAAAAAGATAAAAATTGTTTCGTTTCGTAACGGTTTTATCGAAACGATATTTTTCATCGTTTTGTTTCGTTTCGTCTTGTACCGTTCTGAGACGCAGACCCTTATATATTACGGATATTTATTTGCGTTACTATTGGGGCTCAGTGATAAGGCTATTTTATGCCTTCTTGTTGCTCCTGCCAATTGTAGTTTTTATATTGTTGTACTTTGTGAATATTTTTAACGGCGAAATAAACTAATAAACTAATAAACTAAACTAATAAACTAATCTCGAAAATAAAATAAAATACTTGATCGGCGATTTTAATTTAGATTGTTTTGATTATTACGAAAATCAAAATACTATAAAATTTTACAACAATATATTTGAAACAGGAACAATACCAATAATAAATCGACCAACAAGAATTACAAATTATTCATCCACTTTAATTGACAATATCTTAACCACTGACTTTTTTAATATATCGCTTAAAAAAGGAATAATTAAAACAGATGTATCTGATTATTTTCCTATATTTTTTTCAATAAATCTAGACTTAAAAAAAGAAATGCAAAAAATTGTCACCATAAAAAAGAGGTTGTTCGACAACATTAATTTAAACTCATTCAAAGAGCATTTGTTGCTAATAAATTGGGAACATTTAAACTTTAATAATAATATAAACACAATTTACAGCACTTTTTTTAAAACATTTTATAAAGTCTATGATACAAATTTTTATATGCGTGAAACAGTTCTAAAAACAAAATGTCCCTGGATTACAAAAGGTCTTAAAAAATCCTCGAAAATAAAACAAAAGCTATATATTAAATATTTAAAATCAAAATCAGTAAAACATAAAAATAACTATATCATCTATAAAACCTTATTTGAGAAACTTCGCAAAAATGCAAAAAAAATATTATTCCTACTTGATCAATAAACAAAAATAATTCAAAACAAATCTGGAAAATAATGAAAGACATCACAGGAAAACTTAAAACAAATACAAATTCTCTGCCACATGAAATAAAAATTGAAAACAAACTCAAACTATATTGCAGCTGAATTTAACTAATTTTTTACAACAATTGAAACTAAACTAGCAAATAGTATTCCGTATATCGACGATAAATCAGCTGAATTCCAAACAACAACTTCATCAAATTTTCACTTTACTGAGCTAACTTATGATGAATTTGAAATTGCCTTTAGTTCTTTAAAAAGAAATAAAACAACTGGGTATGATGATATTAATGTGAATATTATAATAGACTTTTGTGATGTTATAAAACGCATTATTTTCAAAATTTTTAGAGAATCCATCAGCCAAGGAATGTTTCCAGATTGTCTTAAAATAGCTAAAGTATTTCCTGTCTACATGACAGGAGTTATTTCAGTTCTTTCAGTTTTTTCAAAAATATCAGAAAAAATGATGTTCAATCGAATTTACGCCCATCTAATTAACAATAAAATCTTATACGAAACCAATTTGATTTTAAAAAAAACAATTCAACAGAACACGCTATTCTCCAACTTACGCGCGACATTTCATAACCTTTTAAAAAATCTCATTTCACATTAGGAGTATTTATTGACTTATCTAAAGCTTTTGATACCGTCAACCATCAAATTCTAATAAAAAAATTATTATCATATGGAATAAAAGATAACACCCTCAATTGGTTAAAAAGCTATCTTACAAATTGTAAGCAATATATTTATAATAAAGAATCCTCGTCTCAAGTGTTAATGAATATAACGTGTGGTTTTCCACAAGGCTCTATACCTGGACCTCTTCTTTTTATAATATATCTAAATGATCTTCATAAAACTTCAAGCCTAACAAAAATAATCTTTGCAGACGACACAAATTTATTTCTATCTCATGAAAATATTAATATTCTTTTCAACAACATGACAAATGAACTAATTTGACTTTTCAATTAAAATTTGACTTTTCAATCAAATTAAACTACTCTTCATTCAAAACCAAAATTAAAGAAATTATCTTTTCAATTAAAAACATCTTTATCTATTTTTGAGTTTTTATTATTACTCCTGATATATTTGACTTTATTGTATTATGTTTAACTATTTAGAAGTCCTGCCGCTAAATTTGCAATATGCTAAAATTTGTATTATTAATATTATTGTTTGGCAAAAAAAAAAAAAAAAGAATATCTATATTAAATTACTCAGTTAAATTACTCAACGGATTGGTAGTAACGGTCCTTATTTTTTCGTGTAATTTCTTGTAATTTCACGTATGGTTTCTGTGTAAATTTATTATTTAATAATAATTTTTTTTTAATAAAACTTTAGGTGTCCCAACAAGTCCTTACGGTCTTATCAAAGAGCACCTCGGAGAAGCATTTGAAAGGGGAAGTTCACGCCTCCTTCTTTACCGATGTTGTAAAACTGGTCCAGAGGTGGCGTTGAACCACGGATCTCTAGCTTTTGAGGCTAACGCGCTAACCACTGCGCTACGGCTGCTCAAATAATAATAAAAATATATAAAAATAATAACAATAATAATAGTAACAATGTTTGTGATTTTACTTACATTTTGATAGTGATGTTTTGCCTTTATTCAGGCGCAAAACCAGATAGTACTGAGCATATGGAACAACTCCAGGACTTTTAAAACTCCACCATCAGGTCTAGCAAAAACCCCACAAGAAATTTTCCGAAGAATTTGAAAGCTTTCAGCCAATATTGGACGTTTTGACACCTCTAGTTTCAAAGAAAAATTGACTTAAAAATAGAAAGGACTAGCATTTTAACAGATACATCGGAGTAAGACAAGATTACCAGAAACAAAGTAGCAAAAGAAAAGAAAAAAAGAGACAAGAACTGCAAAGAAAGTACCAGAAAAGAAAATACTTACAAAAATTACACCAAAAAAAGTCTACGCTGTAAAAGATGAGTATATTAAAAGGAAACTCGATACAAAAAAACCGTAAAAAAATCTGCGTTAGTCAATAATAGCGAGGAAGAAGCAGCATGCATTTACTGCCGAAAACTGTTTGGTGAGTCTGATCTGGCAGAAAAATATCTTATGCAGGGTTGCCACTTAACCTGGAAAACCTGGAAATAGCACGAATCCCAAGGAAAACCTGGAAAACTCAGGGATTTTTTAAAATTTTCATAAAATTCAGGGAAAATAATTTTTTTTTTTAATTTTGTGCAATAACTTTTTTTTCAAAAATATTTTGCTAATACATATAATAAAAAATTTGCATGATGTGGGTATTGTTGTAAAAGTTTTAATTTGACAAATAAAAAGATTGTGTTTAATTAAGGAAAATAATAATCTTGTTGATGAACAGGAAAGAATATAGAAAAGTCAGGGAAAACTCAGGGAACTTAAAGGGTTTAACTGAGGGGAAAACGTTCTTTACACAGGAAATATTCAGGGAAAACTCAAGGAAAAACTTTAAAAATTATAGTAGCTGTTATGTGCTGTGTGTTGCCTTTGGGCTTAAGAAGCATGCTTATGTACAGATTAACATGACGCCGAACACATCTGTGACTTCTCTGCTGACGAATGAGGCGTAATATTGGAATATTTTTTTGCAGCTCTCTAATCAAAGATATCTTAAAAGCTACATAAAATTTAATCATCAATTAGTGAATATTGTATGATTTAGTAAGTAGTATTATAGGGAATAAATAAAAAATTTTTAAATATTTGTATTTCGGCCACAAGTTCACAAATAAAAAAACGTTACAACTGAACATCATACTTTGATAATATGATCTGCTCTGATCGTTTATTGGCAATTTTCCAGATTATAACTTTGTTGGTCGGAATTCTAGTATTTTTTTGTGAAAATTGATAGAAATATTGTATTTTGACAACTATATATAGTTGTCAAAATACAATATTATTATATATATATATATATATATATATATATATATATATATATATATATATATATATATATATATATATATATATATATATATATATATATATATATATATATATATATATATATATATATATATATATATATATATATATATATATATATATATATATATACACACACGTCAGAACCGATTAGAACTAGTATCTTTAGTGGGTTAAGGTACTTTTTCAAAAGTACCTTAACCCACTATAGATACTAGTTCTAAATTTTAAGTTCATGTCAACGCCGATGAGCGAAATTGATCCAAAGACTTAAAAATGGTGTTCTTTAGATTCACTATTAGGCAGTATAAAGGTTTTGAAAATTATATAAAAAAGAGAAAAGTTTCTTTAAATATTAAAAAAACTGAAGCAAAAAAATCATAACATCTAAAGCTCTTGTTTGAACATAATACGCTGATAAAATCATGCTAATTTCAAATAAAAGAATTCGAATAACTTGTAAATCGCCTCAACTCCACCGAGTATGAAAAATATTTCAAACTGGCATGTAGTTGGAAGTTGGTAAGTCGTCAAGTACATCCTGCCAATACCTAAAAAATAAAAATAAAATATTACTGTCCTATCAATATATCATACATGTTCTATTTTCATTCAATTTGTAAATTCTAATTCATAAATCTACACACACTGTATTTGCATAGCTTATTGAACAGCCTAGCCTTAGATATGTTGTAGATTAAATAGCTAACCTTAAGCTTAACTCGATCTTATAGAATAAATTAATCTTAAACCAATATAATAACTTAAACCAAGAGAACTAGTTAATACATTAGTTTATACCTTAATTTATTCAAAATAAATAAAAAGCATAACATTGAAAAAGGTGTCATCTTATTGATATTTTCATAATAGGTAATATTTATCAAAACTAATAGAAATTTTTTTGATATTTTGACTATGCAATCTTTTTCACGAAGGTTATATGAAAATATTTTGAAATGATATATATAAAATTCAAGTTTAAAAAAATACTTTAACTATTATAAATAAAAATAATTTCAGAAATAGAGAAATAATCAAAATGCAAAAGAATTTTCAGAAATGAAATGAAACTATCATCATCACAAAATATTTTACTGCTTGTATTACATTTGCGATACCTATTTTGAAATACTTGCTTGGATCATAGCTTTACTTAGACAACGTTAACCCAAACATCAAGGTTTAAACAGTCATTAACAAAAACCAGAAGCTCCTTTCTTAACTATGTTAACTTATGCCATAAAGCCAAAAATATGTGCAAATATGCTGTGATATCGCTTGATAGAAATTTGACTTCAAAAACAAAATCAAATCCAAAAGCTTTTTATAGTTATGTACAATTTATAGTTATATACATTTATATATACATACAAGTATATATAGATTTTTATAGTTATATACAAAACCAAAAGTAATGGTTTACCAAAGTTAGGTTTAACAACGAAACTGGCAATAGTGACCATGCGAAAGCACGCATATACAACAATTTCTTTACCTTGGTTTTTACTCACAAAGAAATAAAATCCACTCCAATATTTTCTTTAAACAAAATTGTACCTAAAATCTCTTCTAACATTGATTTATCTTCCACTATTATCTCCAATAATTAAAGTAATTTCAAAATTTATAAATCTGCAGGACCAGATAACATTCATCCCAGAGTTATTAATAAATTAAGTCATACAATCTCAGTTCATCTCTCCATAATCTTTATGAAGTCATATAATTATGGAGTCTTACCACTCTTAAGTCTGGAAAGATGCTCACAGTATCCCTATTTTTAAAAAAGGAGATAAGTCACTGGCCAAAAACTATAGACCAATTAGCCTCACCTGTGTTGTCAAAATATTTAAAAAAATTATAAAATCTTATAGTGACACATTTTAACAACCATTCCTTGTTTAGCATTTCTCAACATAGATTTATCCAATTTGTGTCTAATAAACTTAATGTCAGTTATTGGCGCTTGGACATTAGCCTTGAAAAATAAAACTAATAAAATAATATTGGTATATTGAAAGCTTTTGACACAGTTCTGCATTATCTCCTACTTCTAAGATTAAAAGCTTATAAATAGATGACAAACTTTACATTTGGATAGATTGTTACCTAAAATGATTGGCGGCAGAGTATCAATGTTAGTGCTTCATACTCAGAATGGATAAAAGTAACTAATGGGATCCCCAGGGTTCAGTTCATTACTTTCCAATATCTTGGACTAACTTACAACCAAAGACTACTGAGAATAAATTTAACTAGCATGAGCTATCGTTTCATACATAGTGACATGATAGAAACTTACAAATGGACTCACAGTCTTTATAAATGTAGTTACAACCTTTTCTAATCTTCATTAAATACCATTCAGTATTGCTCCATCAACACCCACTGTCTCGCTTATAAATTGAAAAAGATATTTTGTAAGACAGATGTACGAAAAAACTATTTTTAGTATGTGAGTCACAAATATGTGGAATAGTCTATCATTTGATTGTATGTTCAACATCTCAGGATTTAAAAAACACCTAGATGCATATTGGGAACATCAAATGTACATAATGAATGACCGTACATAATGAATGAATGTACAAATGATTAGACTGGGACAAGTAGATACAAACAAACAAAAGGTTGATGCCTAATGATTCTATTTGTAAAAATTATAACCTTAGATAATAACAATATTAATAATAATCACATGGGACTCTCAATGGCTGGTGTATTTTAACTCAGATAAAACTCAAATTTTTTTTTCAGCTAATTGTTATTGCAACAATCAAGATCTTCCAATATTTATGAACAGTATTGTATTAATGTACTAGGATTAACTCATGCCTCTCATCTTTTTTGGAAAGCATATATCAAATCTATTGCAAAATTAGCATCTGCTAAAGTTGCATCTCTTTCTCTTGCTCGCCACTTTCTTACTCTGGATTCTAGTCTTAAAAATCTCAAATTTGTCCTTGTATGGAATACTGTTGCCATACTTGGGGCGAGCAAGAGAAAGGGCATCATCTTTCAATGATGCCCTTTCTCTTTAAGACAAGGTGCAAAAACCCATTATAAACATAATTGGATATGCTCTTGGAGTCAACCTCCAACCATTATCATATTATCGTAATGTTGCTTCTCTTTCTTTTCTATAAACACTATAATGGGTACTGCTCTAAAGAGCTAGCATCTCTTGTGTCATCTACTAAAATTCATTCTCAAGTTACTTGTCACTAAAATAAGTCACAACCTTTTACTGTGACTCCAAAAATTTTCGTTTTTTGGAATTTGCTCCCTTCATCTTGTTTTCCTTATTCATATAAATGTTGAAGTCATTTGTTAATTGTTATCTTTATAAACTTCATTTTTCTTCTTCCAGTAACTTTTAACTCTAATAGTGGTTGTTTCCAGCCTTGATGGAAGTGAAGATGTTTTAAATGAACAAATAAAATGAAATGTAATATTTAACAAGTTTAAATATCCTAATAACACAATAAAGTAGAATAAACGTTAACTTACTTCATAAAATGATCTGATTTCATTTCTACACATTGCAAGTTAAGATTTTGGTAAACATTTTTTCATACTATTTAATATATATATATATATATATATATATATATATATATATATATATATATATATATATATATATATATATATATATATATATATATATATATATATATATATATATTATCAGAGGTCATCTCAGTCATATTTAAAAAATTTGGAAAACATTTTGCAAAAAAAAAAAAAAAACGGAAAATTGTTCCCTCATATTTATCTAAATTTAACTTTAAACTAATGGCTTTCTCAATTTTTTTGAAACTTTTTTCTTTTTTTGCGTCGGTAATGACTTAAAAAGTTTAAAAACATATATATTGCAAAAATATTTATTTAAACTTATATTTACATAAGACTTATTTGAAAATCTGTAAAAACTAAAAGTTAAAAAAAATATCCGCAATTTCAGATATATTCGGAAAAAGAATATCTGAACAAAAAAAATACAATCCCTGTATTATATTTATACCTAATAATAAATATTATTTTTACAAAATATATTTTATCAACTATAAAATATTTTTTTAAAAATTTAATAAATTAAAATTTTTATAACATTTACATTTTAACATACAAGATTAAGTCTTTATTAAAAAATTGTTTGTTTGTTTTTTAATCAAATATTAAAAAATACATTTTTTTAATGGCTGCCAATTTTCTAAAAATTAATCAAAGTCACATCGAAATATTAGAGATAAACTTATCTTTATCTTTTACTCCATTTATTAAAAAATTCCACAAATGTTCCTTGTGTTAGGTCCTTATTTAGTAGAAACTTTAAAGATAATTCATTATCTTAGGTTCAAAGACTTTTTGAAAACCAAAAATGTCAATTTTTACAAAAAAAAAAAAAAAAAAATACAATATCTCAAATATATGTATATTTATTAACTTTCAAAATTTCTATCAAAAAAGAAAGATATTAATGCATGTATCAATTTCAAATGTAAAACTATGTGTTTAGAAGAAGTAACATAGTGGTTTATCAAGCATCTTTTTGTATACTTATTAATCATGATTTAAATAATACGAAGAATGTGTAAAAATACATATATTCTTCCATAAACAAAAAAAGCAGAGGTGTATGCGATTCATGGGGTAAGGGGAGGGAGGCATTTCTTAGTTATTTTGGCTAAAATCATCGTTTTAATCACACGTGAATCAAATACACCTCCGCCGGTTATTTAGAATGTAAACTAAACCAAACGACACTTTTTTTAACTGTCGCGCAAACGATTCGTGTTGGGAGAAGCCGTAATGTGCTCTTCCGCAGTGCTTTTTCAAACAAGATTTATACCTTTTTACACCGGAGCTGCGTTTAATTAAATGGTGTTCCTATTGTCTTGTTTTATTGTTTTATTATTGTTAACATTGATTTTTGGTTTGGTTGGGAATAATAAAACATAATAATACACGTTTAAAAAGTAAGGCTAAAATTAAAACAGGAGTGACGAACAAAATCTTATCGTGACGATACGTTTTAAATACGCATTTTTTTCGCTTACTTCTCACGTTTTAACGAAAAAAAAAAACAAAAAAAAAAACGAATTTAGCAGACAAGAATTATCTGTGCTTTTATCTGTCTAGCACTTTGTATAATTTTGAAAAACACGTATTCATTTAGTCTTTTTGAAGAGCTTTAGATACGTATAAATGAGTTTTATTTATAATTTTTTAAGACGCCATAAACAAATTTAAAAAGAATAGTTTTTTTTTTAATGACAGATTTTAAATAAAAGAAAACTTATGAAATTTACTGTAAGTTTTACATGCAAAAATAAAGTTTGAATATATCACCATTTTACAGAATGAAGCTAGCGAGTTATTTTATAAAATAAGTCTAGCATATTTTTGTAATATCATATTTCTTAATTTTTTTATTGTAAGGATTAAAATTATATTTAGTCCAAGTTTATATTTTATATTATTATCATTACTATTCTATTATAGCACTCAATAAACTTCACACGATCTTATTAAATTATTTTACTAATCATTTACTTTTGTGTAAAATAAATATATTAGCCATAATATATTTATCTATATTTATAGATATAAAATTTGCATATATATATATATATATATATATATATATATATATATATATATATATATATATATATATATATATATATATATATATATATATATATATATATATATATATATATATATATATATATATATTTATACATATATATGTGTATATATATATATATATATATATATATATATATATATATATATATATATATATATATATATATATAATATGTTTACTAATCATTTACTTTTGTGTAAAATAAATATATTAGCCATAATATATTTATCTATATTTATAGATATAAAATTTGCATATATATATATATATTATATATATACATTATATATATATATATGTATATATAGTTAAATATATATATATATATACAAATTATATATAAAAATGAATATATATATATATATATATACACATATATATGTATATATGTATATATATGTATATATATATATATATATACATATATATATGTATATATGTATGTATATATATGTATATATATATATATATATATATATATATATATATATATATATATATATATATATATATATATATATATATATATATATATATATGCAATTATTTTTTAATAAAAATTGTAAAATAATTTATGAAAAATATTTTAATAGATATTACTTTTATACATTATTACTTTTATTTTTTATTTTTATTTTTACTCTTATTACATTATTATTTTTATTTTTATATCAGCATTTTTTTTTTTGAAATATGGCGTGCAATATCAACCAAAAAATGTTGCTTTGGGCAAGAGTTGTATGGGAAGAAAATGAAAACTCTCAGTTTGAAGATGTTATTCCTGCTCATTGGGTTAATGAAGACATTCATTCGGTCTTTTGGCCATCGAAAATGTCAGTGCAAAGAGCCATTTCTGAGCAAGTTCATGTTGACAAAACTTGGCATAAATTTAAATGGGTAAAAACTAAAATTGTGAATGGTGAGGGATAGATTATTTTATTTATATATCTAAAAATGCATTTTTTTTTTAATTGTTATTAATAAATATTCAAGTTATTTTGCGATGTGTTTTCTGATTTATATTGTACTATATTTTTGAACGGAAAAAAAAATTAAAAAGGAATTTAGGGAGATGGGTTTTAAAATAAAAAAAGAGTGTAATTGTATAAGTTGTAAAAATGATTTTAGAAGATAAACAGCTGTGCATAGATTTCCCTTCTGGTTGTGAACTAAAAAGCGCTGAAGATAAAATAGATTCTGAAAAAGCTACAGGTAAAAAAAAAAATCATATTTAAAGACATTTTTTTATAACATGTTAGTATAAAATAGAGGAAATAAAAAAATAGTTATAACAATGTTTGTTTTTGAATCTTTTATTATTCTTTTAAATCTAATTATTTTTCAATAAGATAATTTAAATATTTACAACTTTGCTAAAAACTAACTTTTTGACTTGAATGCAGAGTCTTATGGAATGGCGGACGCGTTTTTATAACGAATTTTATAAATAAATTAAAAAAAAGAAAGATAAATAAAAAAGAATAACATAAGAAAAATAAATAAAATAAAAATTTAAAGAATGAAGTAAAGAAAGAAAAAAAAAAAAACTAAAAAAAATTTAAAAAACAAATCAAACAAATTAACAAAAGAAAAAAGAAACGAGAAAAGAAAAAGGAAAGACAAATAACCAAAGTTAAAAAAAAACATTCAAAAACGGAAAGGAATTAAAAAGGAATTAAAATAAAATATAAAAATTGCTCTGTTTTTGAAGAAAGAAAAAAGACTATTTTTTAAATTTTACTATTTTTGAGTGACGATATGTGTTTGCTTGATATGATTTACTTTTTATTTTAATATTGTTATTTGTTATGAAAACTCTATACTTTTTGTGACTAAATGTTTGTGTGTGTGAAACTTTTTATTTGTGAGTATTATTGAATAATTTTTGTTTTGTTTATTTATTGTTATTTTTTAATGTAGTATTTATTTTACTTTTATTGTTTTTATTATGATTATTGATAATAAGATTATTATATTTATTAATCATTGTTACTTTTTTTTGCAGTAATTGTTTTAGTTACATGGTTGGTTATTTCGTTTTGTCATAACTGTTTTTAACTTTTTTGTCTGTGTATTATATTCAGTTGTTGTTTTAAAATTGATGTTGGTTTATTATCATATAATTTTCTTATTATTCTTATAACTTTTAATTTATCATCATTATTATTATCATTACTATTTGTATTATCAATTCTATTTCATGGTATTTGCTTAAGATTAGTTTTTAACTATTTGTAAATGACCTCGATTGTAAGATCTTTTATCGAAAAAAAAATATATTGATTGACAAAATGTTAAATTTTTGGCTGCATAATAATTTTTTTTTAGTATATATATGAGCTTAAAACTCTCATAAGTCATGTTTCTATTTTCTATTTTTTATAAGCTATTTTCAATTATTAAATAAAAAAGATAAAGTATATTATTTTTTAACTTGGCAAGTTGTGCTTGCAGCAGTCAAAGTACTAAGTGGCAAATTTCCCTTCAACAAAGTGGAGTATCAGTAGCTCAGTGGTAATTGCGCTTGTCTTAGAAGTTAGAGATCTGTGGTTCAATGCCACCTCTGAGTAAGTTTTATAACATTGGTAAGGAAGAAGGCATGAACATCTTCTCAAATGCTCTTCTACTATGCCTTGTGATAAGACCGTAAGAACTTTTCAGGGAACCTCAAAGAAAAAAATAACAACAAAGCTGCTCAATCATTCAGTAGCAATTTTTTAGGTGTGTCAATGGCACAGGTTGTATATATATCAGTAGTTCAAACATGAGATTGCTCCAATAACTTTAATAAACTCTGGTAGATAAGCTTATTAAGTCATCAGGGTGGGGCTTTGGTACAGCTTAATAACTAGTTACTGGCTACTTGTAACACTAAGTTCAAGCTCATTTGTTTTCTGATGCATATAGTCACTGGATCTCAAATTACCAGTTTATTATTGCTAACTAATAATAAAAATATTCAGTCAAATTGCAAATTGCTAATATGTTTAAAATAGCATAATCTTAACTACCAGAACCAGTGCCAGTACCACCACAGTTAGCAGCAATCTACAACAATGACATCTCATGTCAGCATGTGTTGTATAATGTCTCAAGCAGCCAAATTGCTTGTCACAACTTTGCAACAAATGTTTCTCATCTAATATATCAACACAAAAAAGTTTCAATAAATTTAAAAAACTTGAGAAATTGAAAGATGTTGACAGCAGCAAAACAAACTAGAAACTTAGTTAAACTAGAAATAGCTTAACTTTGATGATCAGCAAATCAAACAAACAACAACAAAAGAAACCATAGGATTTAATATATATATATATATATATATATATATATATATATATATATATATATATATATATATATATATATATATATATATGTATATATATATATATATATATATATATATATATATATACATATATACATATATACATATATATATATATATATACATATATACATATATATATGTATATATGTATATATATATATACATATATATATGTATATATATATATACATATATATATATATATATATATATATATATATATGTATATATATATATATATATATATCATATATATATATATATATATATATATATATATATATATATATATATATATATATATATATATATATATATAATATAAAGTAACCAAAAAACTTTAGCGTCAGCTTAAGTTTTTTGGTTACTTTATATTGTTACTTAAATATTGTTGTTCCAAAATATCTTTTTATAATTTTATGCTTCATTCTGCTATCCCCTTTTTGCTATTTAATTTTGTTTCAGATTGATGGACAAAATTTATGTCATCAACACCTGAAAGGGAATGGCATGAATAAGACCTCTATTATTTTTACTTTTAAATTAATCAAAAAGCTGTCAAAACATAATATCACAGAAGCATAGAAACAGGTACTGAGCAAAGGTTTAAAATTTTTCTTGTCTTTTATCTACATCCCTAATAGAGTTTACTCATAAGCAATTAAAAAATTAAACAATAAAAAATGCTAAAAAGTTAAGACCCAAAATAACAGCACCATTTTCTTTTATTTTATAGACTTTTTTAGAAATTCGCAAAACTAATATTTCACTTTGTCCTATAGTTTCTGGTTGTGATAGGTTGATGGATAACTTACTAAATTTATTACAAAGTTTTTACAATTTTTAGCGAAAACTCCCAGCATATTTTGAAGATTTAACGCATTTTCTTAAAATAATTATAGACTTTTTTAGAAATTTAAAAAACCAATATTTCACTTTGTCCTATAGTTTCTGTTGCAGCTTATGTGATCTCCTTTTATACAAATATTGCACAAAGGAAAGGTTTTAGATCTTGTTAGAGATTTTATGAAGCAAACCCCTAAAGATTATAAACTTCGGAAACTAAGTCAAGTGTAAAAAATGTTGTAAAGTTTTTAAGTGAAGTTTTAGCAAGACAAAATAGTTAATGGTTTCAATAAAAAGTTAAAAATGCAAGTTTTGGTTTTGCCAAACATGCATGTCAAATTAAAATGTATGTAACAAGACACATAATTTTATTGCACTAAAAAAAGTAGCACAAGTGAGAACCAACCCTCGGAATTAGGAAAATTGAGGTCGGCAATAATTTGCCAACCTCAATCTTTTAGAGGTCGGCATCAGGTTGGCAAATGCAAAGATCTTATCGTAAAACATTGAAACGAGGTTGGCAAAACCAAATTTTTTTAGGTCGGCATTGCCGATTGCTGACCCTAATTCCGAGGGTTGGAGAACTTAACGCAACATACAGAACCTCTCAACAACTAATCGTTATTACAAGAAAATAGTTTAATCTATTTACAAATTTTTAAATTAAATGAAGTTTTTGAAGAAAATAATTTAATCTATTTATAAATTTGTGATGTGTTTAAAAATATACATTTTTAAACATTAGTAAGTTATCCAACAGCCTATCATAACCAGAAACTATAGAACTAAGTGATATATTGATTTTTCGAATTTCAAAAAAATTGTTTTAAAATATACATTTTTAAACACATCACAAATTTATCCGAAACTTGAAAAAAAAAATTAAAGTAGATTAAAGGTAGAAGTCCAATAGTAACATCTGCCTAAGATGAGTATTTTTTAGAGACACCGTCATTAGTATTTATTAAGGTTATAAGGGTTGAGAGAGGGTTGTAACAACAATTTTAAAATGAGTAGTTTCTGGTTTCTCACCAACCGGTTTCTCTGGTTGTAGATGTCAATGTGACCTTGTAGAGGTGATCTTGAATAGCCTTTTAAGTTTAATGAAAACTGCCTCAGAAAAAAGCCAATTCTTTTTTTAATAAATTTAGGATATTTCATGGATGATCTTATAATAGTTTTTAAATTTCATCTGGTGTTAATATATGGTGGTATAAATCTATAATATAAAATGTATCTGATTGGTGTTATAAGTCTATGATGTATAATATATCTGATGCAATGTATAATTTTTGGTGCTAAATTGTAACAATATAATTTATGATGTAATTCATTTTTCTAACTTATATGAGTCATTTTTCTAACATATATGGTAACATATACCAATTTTACCTCAAAATCTGGGGTGAAATTAATCACTTCTTAAGCTTTTAAAAAAGTATTTGTGTTTCTTTTCAATATTTTACCATATTATAGTTAAAACCCCTAAATTTTTTTGTTTACAATCAACTGTTAAAAGATTAAAGGTTAAAACTACTTTTTTATTATTTGAATCTTTCTTATTCTATAATAAAATTGTTTAGAAAAAAATAAGCATTATGTGAGTATCTATTAATGACCATCAAAACTAATCAATTTTACCCCATTTGACATTATATAATAATATTTATATCACAGTTATCTAATAATATACTTATACAGTGGTGTGAAATATATTATATCAACAATTTAAAACTACTTTTTTATTATTTGAATCTTTCTTATTCTATAATAAAATTGTTTAGAAAAAAATAAGCATTATGTGAGTATCTATTAATGAGCATCAAAACTAATCAATTTTACCCCATTTGACATTATATAATAATATTTATATCACAGTTATCTAATAATATACTTATACAGTGGTGTGAAATATATAATATCAACAATTTAACAAACATCATAAAATGGTTTTATGTAATATTATTTGTAAATTTTTTTTTTATTGTTTAAATGAAACATTACATTCATGCATATTTTGGTGTAATAAACT